TCACCTATTCTGGCCATTGGAATGCATTAACATCTCTAACGTTTAGACGTGTTTACATGAGTTTAGGTGCGTCAAGTGTTTTTTCTGCTCAAAAGCTCTTATCCCAAATGCACTGGTGATGGCTTTTTCAGCATGTAAACACTCCTCTTCTAATATGCCTGCAAACACCTATGTGCATGGACACATAGACTAACAAAGAGGTGCTTTTACAGGCTAAAAAGAAAAATGTCAGACACCTGTAAAAGTGGCGTTTTTTTAAACCCTGTGTACATTAGGCCTAAATATTCAGCTCATGTGCAAATGTTGCCCAACTTTGGTGCCTGTCTTAGAGATTTTTGTAGGAGTGCTGCTCAGGTGGAATTGATTACTTTGTACCGCACTGTAGATTGGTATTTTATTCTACATCAAAAGCCTACAATTGTCAGCAGAGCAAACATTTTCTCTGTGTTAGCTTTGCTACAAAGTTACAGAACAGTAGCTATTGTTCCAAACACCTGTTAATGTTGCAGTTGCAAGCAAAATAAAGTGTGGCTCAGTGTCTAATGTCTGCTGAGAAATTCTTCAAGTGTATTTCCACTTTCACAGCCCAATTGGAATAGCACCTACTTTATATTTGTTACATGTTCTCAATACCATAGCATAACATAAAAAAAAAATTAGCTAGTTACCTTTTTGAGGCATCATACGCAGTGGGCAAATGCTCAGCTCCTCTGAATTCCTTTTCTCCTGGCAGGAGAAAATCAGCTAAAAAAAAAAAAACGTGCCTAAAGTTGCTTAGGCATGTCAGGCCTCAATATTAATTTATTCTAGCCACTGAAATGAATGAACACTCAGGAGATAAACACCTCGAGCCTAGCGTTTATATGCATTCACACTTCAAGTGCCAAGCAGTTTTTCTGTTCAAACGCTATTCTATTGAATGCACAAATGATTTTTTTACAGCTTCTAAAAGGCTTCTCTTCTAATATGCTTGTAAATGCCTGTGTGTACATGGCCACATAGGCTAACATAGTGGGACATTCAGAAGCTAAAAAAAAGACTAACACAGAGGAGCATTCAGAAGCTATAAAAGAAAAAAAAAAAGGCTAACATAGAGTGGCATTCAGGAGCTAAAAAAAAAAAAATTACATAGAGGGGCATTCAGAAGCTTAAAAAAAAAAGGCTAATGCAGAGGGGCATTCAGAAGCTTTAAAAAAAGGCTAATGTAGAGAAGCATTCAGAAGCTAAAAAAAAAAAAAAAAAAAAGCCTAACACAGAGGGGCATTCAGAAGCTAAAAAAAAGGTTAACATAGAGGGGCATTCAGAAGCTAAAAAAAAAAAAGCTAACATAGAGGGGCATTCAGAAGCTAAAAAAAAGGTTAACATACAGGGGCATTCAGAAGCTAAAAAAAAAAAAAGCTAACACAGAGGGGCATTCAGAAGCTAAAAAAAAAGCTAACATAGAGGGGCATTCAGGAGCTAAAAAAACAATTACACAGAGGGGCATTCAGAAGCTTAAAAAAAAAAGGCTAACGCAGAGGGGCATTCAGAGGCTTAAAAAAAAGGCTAACATAGAGGGGCATTCAGAAGCTAAAAAAAAAAAGCTAACATAGAGGGGCATTCAGAAGCTAAAAAAAAAAAGCTAATATAGAGGGGCATTCAGAAGCTAAAAAAAAAGGATAACATAGAGGGACATTCAGAAGCTAAAAAAAAGGCTAACATAGAGGGGCATTCAGAAGCTAAAAAAAAAGGCTAACATAGAGGGGCATTCAGGAGCTAAAAAAAAAAACTACACAGAGGGGCATTCAGAAGCTTAAGAAAAAAAAGGCTAACATAGAGGGGCATTCAGAGGCTTAAAAAAAAAAAAGCTAACATAGAGGGGCATTCAGAAGCTAAAAAAAGGCTAACATAGAGGGGCATTCAGAAGCTAAAAAATAAAAAAGTCAAACGCCCTTAAAAGCGGCATTTTTTAATCCTAATGTGCATGAGACCTAAGTAATTTTTGCCTACTTAAAATACTATCAAGTGCTCCCTGCTTAATGTTTAAGAGGGGGTTGTGCAGTAAAGTTCAACATCATTGACCCTGTCTTTACTTTAGTGGCAGATCTTCATATGGGCAGCACAGTGGCTAAATGGTTAGCACTTTCGCCTAGCAGTACTAGGGTTGTTGGTTCGAATCCCAACCATGGCACTAGCTGCCTGGAGTTTGCATGTTCTCCCTGTGCCTGTGTGGGTTTCCTCCAGGTACTCCATTTTCCTCCCACACTCCAAAGACATGCTGGTAGGTTAATTAGTTCCTGTATAAAATTGGCCCTAGTATGTGTATGTATGAATGTGAGTTAGGGACCTTAGATTGTACACCAGTTGAGGGTTAGGGACTGATATGAATGTACAATATATATGTAAAGTGCTGTGTAAATTGACGCCACTATATAAGTACCTGAAATAAATAAAAATAAACGATCTAAACTAGATTTGAACACAGTGGGGTTGATTTACTAAAGGCAAATAATCTGTGCAAGTGCAGTTGCACTCATTTTCCCCAGAGCTTAGAGAATGTGGTGAATCTTTGCTGATTTCTATATCATCCAATCATATGCAAGCAAACATGCTGTTTTGTTTTTTGTTTTTCATCTTCCTGGCACCTGATTGGGTATTCTTTACAAAGTGAAGCTTCACCACATTCACTAAGCTCTGAGGAAAATGAATACAACTGCACCTGCAAAGTGCACAGTATATTTGCTTTTAAATTAACCCCTTTCTGTCCTAACAATTTAGACGCTAGCTTTCTGCATTGCATGAAGGAGAGCTCAGTGCATCCCCAGTCTGTGTGGGGACAGACCCTCTGATACTGTTCAGTTACAGATTTGGAGGAATTTTAGGTGTTACCATAGGGCAACACCATGGGAAGCAGAAAATGTTAATGTGTTTCACATCCTAAAACCAATGTAATGTAAGGAATGTAGGAGTATGGCTTTTATAGGCACATAACCTCACAGCAAAATATTTGTTACAAAGATACCTTCTTTATTACAGTCTTGATAATTAAAAACAGGAAAAGAAATGTATACAATAGCGCAAAACAATGAATAGCTCAACATTTTTAATCTTTATAGCACCACAACATTAGTTCATTAAAAAAAGCATTGGAATAGGTTACCCCCATAGGTAATTAAAGATTTTAATATTATTGCTGTGTAGGCTACCAATTTTTAATTGGTCCAGCTAGGGGATACTTCAATTCCTTAAATTGTTTGCTCGACATGTTTTGCAACAATAAGTCGCTTCCTCAGGAGCTAATTAGGTGCATCTAGTAAGAAAACAGACATAGAGCTTTAATCATTGACATAGAGACAACAACCAATCATATGAAGACATTGGAAAATAGTGCTATTACTTAAAAATGTAACAAAACAAAATAAAACCTAGTGTTAGTAGAGAAGAGCAGAGGCCATTAGGACTGCCAGGACTATAATCTGAATATGGAGGCACATCAGGAGGCTGTAAAGGGCAGCATAAAAGACAAGGTAAGAACATGGGTCGGTCTAGAAAATATATTTACAGAGTAAAAAGTCTACACACCCCTGTTGAAATGCCAGGTTTCTGTGATGTAAAAGAAGAGACAAAGATTAATCATTTCAGAACTTTTTCCACCTTGATCCTGGGTTCACACTTGTGCGGTGCAACATACCGCATGTGATTCGCACAGGAACCGCACTGCATTCCTGTGCAAATCACATGCGAATTCTGTGTGATGCGATTGGAGCCATACATTTTACTATGGCTGAAATCACACCACATTCGCACCAAAAAGGTGTAGGACCCTTTTTTTGGTCCACATTAGAATCGGATCACACCTATGTGATCCGATTCTGCACATCGCACCACGTTTTGCAAACTGATTTCAGGGTGTCGTTAACTTAAAATACACACTCGCAATGGTTCGTGTGAACGGGGTGCGATTATGATGCGGTGTGGAAATCGCACAAAAACCGGTGTAAATTTCGCATCGCATCAATGTGAACCCAGACGTAATGTAATCTATAAACTGTACAACTCAGTTGAACAACAAACTGAAATATTTGAGGTGGAGGGAAGTAAAAATAAAAAACTAAAATAATATGGTTGCATAAGTGTGCACACCCTTAAACTAATACTTTGTTGAAGCTCCTTTTGATTTTATTCCAGCACTCAGTCTTTTTGGGTATGAGTCTATCAGCATGGCACATCTTGACTTGGCAATATTTGCGCACTCTTCCTTGCAAAAACACACCAAATCTGTCAGATTGCGAGGGCATCTCCTGTGCACAGCCCTCTTCAGATCACCCCACAGATTTTTGATCGGATTCAGGTCTGGGCTCTGGCTGGGCTATTCCAAAACTTGAATCTTCTTCTGGTGATGCCATTCCTTTGTTGATTTGGATGTATGCTTTGGGTTGTTGTCATGCTGAAAGATGAAGTTCCTTTTCATGTTCAGCTTTCTAGCAGAAGCCTGAATGTTTTGTGCCATTATTGACTGGTATTTGGAACTGTTCATAATTCCCTCTACCTTGACTAAGGCCCCAGTTTCAGCTGAAGAAAAACAGCCCAAAAGCATGATGCTGCCATCACCATGCTTCACTGTGGGTATGGTGTTCTTTTGGTGATGTGCAGTGCTGTTTCTGCGCCAAACATATATTTTGGAATTATGGCCAGAAAGTTCAACCTTGGGTTCATCAGAACATAACACATTTTCTCACATGCTTTTGGGACACGTCAGATGTGTTCTTGCAAAATTTATCCGGGCTTGCATGTTTTTCTTTGTAAGTTTTGCCACTCTACCCCATAGCCCAGACATATGAAGAATACGGGAGATTGTTGTCACATGCACCACACAGCCAGTACTTGCCAGATATTCCTGCAGCTCTTTTAACCGCCTCCCGCCTGCCATATAGTACGACGGGCGCAAGGCGGTTCTCTCGTTCTGGGAGGACGTCATATGACGTCTTCCCATTCTAACCGCGCATGCGGGATCAACGGAAAGAGCCGAAAATGTCGGCTCGGTCATGTGATCAGCTGTGTCCAGTCACAGCTGATCACATGTAAATAGGGAAATGCCGGTTATCTCCATTTCTCTCCACACGAGCTGTCACGCTGACAGTTCATGAGGAAAGGAGAGCCGGTAATCGGCATCCCTCATGGGGAACATGTGCACTGATGATCAGTGTGCCCTGATGATCTGTGTAGCCCCAGCAGTGCCAGCTGTCAGTGCTCATGCATGCCACCTGCCAGTGCCCATCAGTGCCACATCAATGCCACATTTCAGTGCCTACCAGTGCACATCAATGCCACATATCAGTGCCCATCTGAGCTGCCTTTCAGTGCCACCTATCAATGCCAGTCAGTGCTGCCAATCAGTGCCGCCTATCAGTGTGCATCAGTGCCGGCTATCAGTGCCCATTAGTGCTGCCTATCAGTGCCACCTAACAGTGCCAGTCAGTGCCACCTATCAGTGCCATATATGAGTGATGCCTTTCAGTGCCTATCAGTGATGTGTGTCAATGCCCATCAGTGCCACCTACCAATACCTCCTCATCAGTGCCCATCAGTGCCACCTATCAGTGTTCATCAGTTCAGCCTAATAGTGCCCATCACTGCAGCCTCAATAGCGCACATCAATGAAGGAGAAAAATCGCTTATTTACAAAATTTTATAACAACGAAAAAAAAAGTTTTTGTTTTTTTTCAAACTTTTCTGTGGTTTTTGGTTTGTTTAAGAAAAATAAAAAACCCAGAGGTGATTAAATACCACCAAAATAAAGCTCTATCTGTCACAAAAAAAATTATAAACATTTCATATGGGTACAGAGTTGCATGACCGCACAATTATCATTCAAAGTGCAACAGTGCTGAAAGCTGGAAATTGGCCTGGGCAGGAAGGGGATATAAGTGCCCTGTAGGCTAGTGGTTAATGTTGCTATAGGCTTCTTGGCAGCCTCCCAGACCAGTTTTCTTCTCGTCTTTTCATCAATTTTGGATGGATGTCCAATTCTTGGTAATGTCACTGCATATTTTCTTCACTTGATGATGACTGTCTTCACTGTGTTCCATGGTATATCTAATGCCTTGGAAATTCTTTTGTACCCTTCTCCTGACTGATACCTTTTAACAATAAGATCCCACTGATGCTTTGGAAGCTCTCTTCGAACCATGGCTTTTGCAATAGGATGACAACAAAGAAAATGTCAGGAAAGACCTACTAGAACAGCTGAACTTTATTTGGGGTTAATCAGAGGCACTTTAAATGATGGCAGGTGTGTACTGACTCCTATTTAACATAATGTTTAATGTGAGTGCTTAATTCTGAACACAGCTACATCCCCAGTTATAAGAGGGTGTGCACACTTATGCAACCACATTATTTTAGTTTTTTATGTTTACTTCCCCCCCCCCCAAAGTTTTCAGTTTGTTTTACAATTGAGTTGCACAGTTTATAGGTTACATTAAGGGTGGAAAAAGTTCTGAAATGATCTATCTTTGTCTCATTTTTTTACATCACAGAAACCTGACATTTTAACAGGGGTGTATAGACAAAAATGTCTGACACAGCAGCTTCTCAGCTTGTGGCTCTCTGCAAACTTACAATGTTAAGCTGGCCATAGACTGTAAGATACACTGTATTGCCAAAAGTCATCATTGGATTCAGGTGTTCCAATCACCTCCATGGCCACAAGTGTATGCAATCAAGCACCTAGGCATGCAGCCTGCTTCTACAAACATTTGTGAAATAATGGGTCGCTCTCAGGAGCCCAGTGAATTTAAGCGTGGTATCGTGATAGGTTGCCACCTGTGCAATAAGTCCATCTGTGAAATTTCCTTACTACTATATTCCACAGTCAACTGATAGTAGTATTATAACAAAGTGGAAGCAACTGGGAACAACAGCAACTCAGCCACGAAGTGGAAGGCCACCTAAAATGACAGAGCAGAGTCAGCGAATGCTGAAGCACACAGTGCGCAGAAGTCACCAACTGTCTGCAGAGTCAATAGCTAAAGACCACTAAAACTTTATGTGGCCTTCGGATTAGCACAACAACAGTGCATAGAGAGCTTCATGGAATGGGTTTCCATGGCTGAGCAGCTGCATCCAAGCCTTACATCACCAAGTGCAATGCAAAGCGTTGGATGCAGTGGTGTAAAGCACGCTGCCACTGGACTCTAGAGCAGAGGAGACATGTTCTGTGGAGTGATGAATCACGCTTCTTTTTCTGGCAATCCGATGGACATGTCAGGGTTTGCCGGTTGCCAGGAGAATGGTACTTGCCTGACTGCATTGTGCCAAGTTTAAAGTTTGGTGGACGGCGGATTATGGAGTGGGGTTGTTTTTCTGGGGTTTGTGTTTGGCCCCCTAGTTCCAGTGAAGGGAACTCTTAAGGTGTCAGCATACCAAGACATTTTGGACAATTTCATGCTCTCAACTTTGTGGGAACAGTTTGGAGATGGCCTCTTCCTGTTCCAACATGACTATACACCAGTGCACAAAGCAAGGTCCATAAAGACACGGATGAGCGAGTTTGAGGTTGAGGAACTAGACTGGCCTGACCTCAATTCAATAAAACACCTTTGGGATGAATTAGAGCAGAGACTGTGAGCCAGGCCTTCTTGTCCGACATCAGTGCCTGATCTCACAAATGCCCTTCTGGAAGAATGGTCAAACATTCCCATAGATACACTCCTAAACCTTGTGGACAGCCTTCCCAGAAGAGTTGAAGCTGTTATAGCTGCAAAGGGTGGGCCAACTCAATATTGAACCCTACGAACTAAGACTGGGATGCCATTAAAGTTCATGTGCATGTAAAAGCAGGTGCCCAAATACTTTTAGCAATATAGTGTCTATAAATTGGTATCCATATACATGGATATACCAGTTTCTTGAAAGCTATAACCAATAAGGCATAATGTAATGTTCAGTTACAATCTGCCATGATACCTTTTGTGAATGTGAACACATGACGGTCATATTGTGGAGTTCTCAAAGTTGACTGCAAAAGTGGAAATGCACTTTAATTTGAGACGTGACTTCAAGACAAGAATACCCATTTGAATATTACCTACAGCAATAGCACTCACCTGAATCTCTTTTGTGTCCCCAGTGCAGCTAGTGAGATCTGACAAAAGCCAAACCGTGAAACAAATCCCACTTTTATCAAGACTCTGAATTATTAATGATCTCTCTATCTATCTATCTATCTATCTATCTATCTATCTATCTATCTATCTATCTATCTATCTATCTATCTATCAATGTATTATCTATCTATCTATCTATCTATCTATCTATCTATCTATCTATCTATCTATCTATCTATCTATCTATCTATCTTATTAAAAGCCTTTATTAACTGTGTGTTGTTTCCTGTATCCTATCCCTGCACCATCTGCCAGCTATATATGTTTTCATACATATTACTAGACATCACTATTGGCAGACTCCTTGTTTTTTTTTCTTCCCAGACACCCTAGTGTTGCTTTGCCCATTGACCCTACTAGGGTAAAAAATGAAGGCCTTTTTCAAACGTTTGCATATAAATTACTTTACATACAGGTTTCATCGTATTCAGGAGGTACAGATGAACTGATATTAGTTGTATTGTATTTGTATGGGACATGCGTCCTCTCAATCAAATCTAAAGTGTTAACTATTTGACTGATCTAGCATTGCCCCCATTTGTTGGCCTATCAGACTATCTATTATAGTACTTGGCCAACAGTGAGGGTAAGGATTTAGAGGTGGACCAGATGACTGACTTGTTGATCCATCATGTGCTATGTGCTTGCTAAACCTGGATTAGTTAGGTATTTTCTACTTAATGTTCACTTTAAATACACTGATGAGTACCAGTCCTTAGGTTAAAAAAACCTTTCTTTTTATTGTTATGCACAAACAAATATGTCTACAGTGCCATTGACCTCAAAAAGTAACATTTCATTTGAACTGATGATAAATTGTTGATGTTGCCTAGGTACTGGTGTACTATGTTTTGCACTTTGCCTTATGTACTATTGTGCTATATTCCATTTTGAAATGAGTGCCATGCCATTAACATTGGCAGCTGCCTGTTTATGTTCATAACATGTTAAGATTTAGTACATTGTACGTACAGTTACTGCTGCTCCAGGGTTTGTAGAACATTGAACAATGAATTAATAATTAACTTACAGGTTAACATTTTGTAATCCTTTTTAATGAATCTACATTGACTGTATATTGTAAAGGGCAAGAGGTGACTGTAAAATAACATAATTGATAACAATAATCTTACCTAAGCTTTATAATTTTTCAAAGCGTAGTTGAAAACAAAAAGATATAAAATATATGTATAGCCAAAACTTTTTTTTTTATTTAGATGGAGTAGGGAAAGGTTTTTCACTTGTATTAGGTTATTTATTGCTGTCTGTGTTCTGATGGGCAGTTTCCCTTCACTTTCTGCCCTTGAAACGCAATGGGAAATTGAATATAATTATCAATCCAATAGGGGAAAAGACAGGAAATCCCATCACTTTGTGGAGATTTCCCTTCTTTATCTCTATTGGAATGAATAGTATATAAAGTGTTGCATACATTGACGGCACTATAAAAATACCCATAATAAATAAATATTGGATGATATACCTTCAACTTTTAGAATTTCCCCTTTCCTGTCCCACTTTCTGTCTTATTGAAAATGATCACCAGGACAAATAATTAGGGTGACTGTCCCCAATGAGGATGCAGACAGCATTAAAACCTTGACATAGGGTCTAAGCCTTTCCCTACTCTATCCAAAAATTGTTTTGACCTTAAGTAAACTGTAAGGTCTGCTTCACACTACTGCGGCTCTGCGTGCTGTGTTTTGCCAATTAATTTTCATGGGTTGCTGTGCTCCTGAAAACGCAGATAAAAGATACCTGCATCATTTTTTAAATCGCAACCCACATAGAAACTGCAAGTGTAGCGTGTGACTGCTGCGATTTCCAGTGTGTATGGGTGCCGTGAGGATTAATGGCACCCACATGCATCTTCACAAATTACTAGTGCAGTGTAACTGCCTAAATTAATAATTAGAAAACATAAATACTCTGGTGAAAAACATATACAAGTGACAAACTAAAAAGTCCATAAACAATCCCCTAAGTGACATGTATCACTTCCGTGAATATCTTCTTCTTTCGTAATAATCAGTGATCCTCCACCACACCAGGTGAAAAACCTGCTCACCTCAAGAAAAGAAAATACTGTATGCGCTCATCTGGGTGTACTCAACTCCTCAGTCACAAAGACATATCTTCTTATCTCCTCTCGCCTTCCACTCACTTTGACATCAGGCCAAAATTGATCTCATGCAACAGAAAGACCGAAACATAGTGCTGTCTGTATAACACTTTATTATATCCCCCACTAAAATAACACTTACAGATAAAAAAGCATAAAATTTGTATCCACATCCAGCTCACCGCTCCGCTAGCAAGATAGTGGTGGCGTGGTAACACAGTACCGGCTCCTCCTTCCTAG